GGCCGTGACGTCCATAGTGACCAAAATGGAATTGTCAGGAAGGGGGCTGGGGATACGGTTAAGTTTTCGGAGGAAATCGGTGGTGTCTTGAATGTAGCTGGGGATGTTGCAAAGAAGAGGATTGAGGAGGCTATCAATAAATCCTGAAACAAATTCGGTGATGGTGCCTATGCCAGATACTATAGGTCTGTCTGGAGGGGTGATTTTCAGAGATTTGGCCAGTTCAAAAATAACCATTGGGTCTAGAGATGTAAGATCAGAGATGTTGTAAGGATGGGCTGTAGTTTTTCATATGCTCAAGTGGAAGTAGGTTTAACAGTAAAATGACTACACACTTCGCCAACAGATTGGTCGGTTGAATCAGGGAAACTTTCTGACTGCATCAGTGACTGCTACGTAGTAAAATGACTGAGAGCACAGTAATGACAGTGTAGTGATTTTATGGAAACCAGCCCTAATGATTGCAGAGAAAATGCTGTAGCGACAGTGTAGCGATTTTATTGAAACCAAGCTTAAGATAATAGTAATTCTGGATTTATATGGCGCCTCACGTTTTCACAACCTCAAGGCGCTTAACAACAGCAGAGAAGAAAATAAACCAAAAACAAATGTATAAATGTACCGTTTTAGCTTAGTTTAACAATTGGTATTAAATTAAATTAACAAATATTACACAAGGAAATAGGTACGCACGAGAAATTGAGGCCCTAGGAAGTGACAAGCCAGTACCAATGATGAAGCAGTTTATAAAGGAAACCATCTTCACATCCTGGTATCATGTCAATGTTAATAATAGTCACACAGTGAAATTTAGGATATGATGGTTGATTTCCTTTTTTGCTCAACATTCTAATAACAGGTGTGCCAAGCCTCCAATTTTCAGCGATCTAAATTAAAAATAATGTGCACTATAGAATGGTCCACAGAGATACTACATATTTAGGCTTTGAGAGATAGGTCACAATTTCTGCTGGAATCCTTCCCTGAATTTACAAGTCAAATAACATTTACAGTGTATAAAGAAGCTAATGTAAAAAAGCTCCCCATAAATTAAATGATGGGCACACTAACAGTTCCTGAACAGTGAGGAATTATTATCCAAATTCCACCCTAATCAAAACCTTTCTTTTCTCAGGGGTCTGATGTTGGTAATACCCATTGGCACTGACTTCTGTGAGACAACTGATAATAATAAAGTAGTAAAAACAATATATGAATTTTCATGAATTTTTTTCCTGGGAGATTGTTGTCTGCTTGCTGGAGTGCAATGACTGTCTGAATTCCGGCAAAATCTCACAGCTTACAGGAGACTCAATATCCCTGCATCAGGGCCAATGTATGGTACCAATTGTCATTAAATTAGGTCAGAATAACAACATTCACATGTAGCTTAACTCTTACCATCGAAGCTTCCGTGTGTAACAGCACATTGCAAAAGGGCAGCATATGTTTCATCAGATGGTCTGAAAACAAACACCCCTGAATTGAAACAATCTGGCCAACCAACATCGGGGGAAGCAGACAATTCTTCACGCTCAAATAAATCATCAACATTACGAAGAACCTGTAAATACATCAACATTTCATTAATATAAAATTACTTGGATAAAATTGGGTTCTCCTATAGAAAAAAATTTCTACAGGCTCATAGTAATTAACCTCTTGTTAATACATTTTTTGTGCTGGGGAAGGAGGTGTGGTGGTAAATTACTTGTTATTTAAATTATTTTTTTAAATACAGGTCTCCCTCTAAAGACCCCCACCAATTAAAGACCGTCAATTTTCTATGGTTTTATTATTCAAATTAGAGACCAAAGATGGTAAAGACCATGGAAACACACCAGTCCCAAAAGTGGTCTTTAATTGGAAGGAGACCTGTACATCATTTTGGTCATAGATATACTTACTAAGCAGTCAGCATCGAGAAAGACACATTTTGTGAATTGTGTTAGGCGCCAACAATGCAGCTTGGAGAATGTGATTCCTAGGTCGGGTCGTGCAAGCAGTGCTAAGTTAGCCTCATCTTGGCTGTCTAGCGGGTCAACTTGTTGGATATAATCGTAAATCTGGGAGAGCTGCTGCCTGAAATTTAAAGATTTACACTGCATTTTAAAATCATTAATATATATACTAATAAAGCTATATTAAGATTGAGAAGCACAGCCACTTTAGAGTATTCTCACAAGGTAATAATAAAAATGATAATGATGTCATGGACAAACGTCATGGACAAATTCTAAACTGTTAAATATAAATAATGTTTGTACTAAATAATATAAGAAGAGCAAGAAGAGCCAGCAATTTATGACAAGAAATCGTATGATTGTGCATGTAAATTTGAAAAGTCAGCCTAAATATTGTCAAAATCACTACTGTACTTGAAAATTTTATGCCAAATAAATGGTGGGCCTACAGGAGGGTTGACCCACCCACAAAAACTGTTGAGTGGGCCAAGGCCCACTCAGCCTACACTGTGCTGCCACCAGTGGATGATGATGAGGAGGAGGAGGAGGAGGAGGAGAAGGAGGAGGAGGGTGAGGATGATGATACAGTAGATGATGATGATAATGAAGAAATGATAATGATGACCATCATATTTATAATGATGATAAAGATGGTGATTGTGATGATTTTGTAACTACACTAACATCTCCCATTTACCAGCTCTCGATTTTACGAACCAAATTTCAGGCAATGACGTCATTACGAATTAAGTTTTTAACTGCAAAACACTTTAAAATGTATTTAAAAGTCTTCAGAAATAATTTAGATTGTTATATCAACTAAGAGAAAAAAACATTCAAACCTATAAAGTAATAATGTAAGTTTCAAGAAAGAAATATCAATCATTTCAGCTGAGATATATTATATTTGAACTGTGCCTGCTTCTTCAGGCATACTGTACAGTAAATCTCACTTTTTGATCATTAGAAATGCTATTTGCATGGATTTCATGATCTTTATGAAAAAAATAACACTTGTTTTGTGTATTATATGGTCATGTTTTCATTCAGAAATCACTTCAAATGAATACTTTACAGTGAGCACAGGTAATTTTGGCTTCTGTAAAGTATTATCTTGTTGCAGAAAACTGTAAATTTTCGTTACAAAATTTTCTTTCATGGCAAGGCTTAAGCCCTACCTAGCCCTGTATTTTGTAGCATAGAATATAGGCCTAGGCCTACCCTCACCATACCAAGAAGCTGAAAATTTTAACTCTCTGAATTACGAATTTTCTCATTTACAAACCCTGTTGGAACTGAGGGGTACATAATGGGGATATGTTACTGTATGATAGTTATAATGATGACAGCTAATGATGATAATACTCGTGACAGTCAATGTTGATGAAGATGATGACAGCGAGGACAACAGTGACCGCGGCATTGACACTGACAACAATAATGGCTAGCTGAATATGATAACTGATTGCATTTTAAGTGTGCAATGCCACATCATCTTTATTATTTTCAATTGACATGTCGACAAGGACGCGAAGCCCCGCCCACAAAGTCACGAAAACCTTAGACAATGGCGGCTAGTGAGTTGGCGAACATTTTCTTTGCTATCAACCTTCTTTAAGAAAGAGAATTCAGGGTAAGCGGTATGCAAATGAATCATAGATCCATAGTGTTAATCTATTTCATGGAACAGGCGGGGAAATGGCTGTAAAAGCCTCTTCCCAAAGGAAGAGGGGAAACCCACATTCAGTCAACCTCGTTGTCGGCAAAAGCCAAGTCACTGATGCGTAATGCGCTTGTGTAAATCTGGGTATCTATAACAACCAAGCATAGACATCAAGGTCTAGGCTCACGTATGTTTCATGTTGACAACCAGTTGTCTAAGGAAATTAAAATGTGCAAGAAAAAGTTTTTGATCACATGACTAAATGGCGCTCACTGATTGGTCGGTTTATCTGTCAATTAAATCTCATCGAGATGTTAATTGTATTACCAATGCCGTAGCCAAGATTTTCAAGCAGTGCGGGACAATATCAGAGTGGACCCACTTTACGCGTAATTTCAAATAATGTGGACTCATTTTCTTTAAAGCTGACCCTTTTTACACAAAAATGTGAAAAATCTGCACCCATTTTAGGCTAAATATGACAAATGTGGAACCACTTTATTCATGAAATTGCATAATTTGGACCCATTTTTGAAAATGCAGACTCCATTCTTTGTGGACCCATTAGAAAAATTGTGTTGGACTGTCCCAACTCTCTTAATAGCTGACTACAGCACTGTGTATTACATAGCCTGTGGTTCTCTTACTATTAGTTGTTAGTAGACACTATTTACTGACTAAGCAGAAATAAAACCAAATTACAAACCTCATGGATTGTGTGACCATAGGTGCTATAAGGATTGCCAGTTTTCTAGTTGTACCGACATCACGCAGAGACTGACCAAGTACAAGGGCACCATAACAGTAACTATCATTGGTTGCTAGTGTGACGAAAGCCTCATCCCCAACTGGATAAAAGAAAATGCAATATTAAACATTCATTATTTATTTTAAAAAAGATACTTTACTTTCTGTGAAAATAAATCCTCAAATACAGTATGCAGTTAAAAAATAGAAATTTCTCAAAATTTTAAAAAGACAGTGATTGTTCCGGTAAATTAGGGATTTAAAATAAAATTCATTAATATGACCACTCTCACAAGGGTCTACAGAAAAATGCAAACAAATTGGCATTTTTATTTCATCTGTTTTAATTGCAGAGAAGAGTTTTGTAATTCTTTTAACTGAATTAGGCAAATAACATCTTTATATTAATAGTCGGCCTACTACTGTACTAAATAAAGGTATAATCTGTATCTCCTCAAAAACCATGCTACAACAATCTCACCAATCAACCAAGGGGCTATTTCTGTTGGCATGGAAAAACGGTTATATTACCATTTTTATTTAACCGTTTTTATTTTGTCACCAGAAACTGCACCAGATTAAAATAAACAGTTAAAATGGCGTGCAGATCGAATCAGTGTTTGCATGACAAATAAGTTTATTGCGGTGCACTTTTTAACAGCAACACATTAAACAGTTATTCATTATTGACCTTATGACCTGGGTCAAACCTTACATTCTTTTTTTTGTTTTTGATCACTAACCGCAAAGCAACAATTCGCACTGTACAATACATCTCCTTTAAACAAGTTCCATATTTCTTCGTTTTTTTCAAAATTCAAATCAAGTGCATTGACTTGATGCAAGTGAGACAAAACGTGAAGTATTGACATCAGTAATACAGCATTGCTGATAATATTTGAAACATATTCCTTTTTTCGTGCACAGGAATCAAACGATAGAAAGGTCATTACACACTTCTGACCTTTAAAAGCATTATGGGTAATACCTTCCCTGACCACCCAGCGAAATAACCGGTTTTTTTATAGCAAAAAAATAGCAAAACAACACAGACATATGTTTACAAATCAATTGAGCTTGGCCAAAAAATAACTGGTATATTTTTTAATTGAACAGAAACAGGCCCCAAATTGACCTATGTAACACTTAAACCCAAACACCTGAGCATGGACTAGATTGTAAAGTACTCTCCTTCACCTGTGTCACTGGTGTCTGAGTAAAGTGGTGCTGTAGCTACCGATGTTGAACAGAATAGGTATTCAGGGATGTTTTCTTCTGACCAATTGTGTTAAGCTCCTCAACAGAGTGACGGTCAGTCTTCTCGGACAAGAGGTCAGGCACCCCCATCACCAATGGCACAACTAATGGTATGTCCAGGTCTCCTGTCTTTAGAATGGGTTACAGCTAGTACTAAATACTTAATTCTATACAGTAGTTATCAAGTTTTGCTCAGCTTTGGCTAAGTCTAACACCAAAAGGAATTGCTATTTGCTGTCTTTGCTCTTTCAAATATTTTCAATGGAAACCTGCTCCACCCTTTTAATTTGAGCCAAAGTTGGTTATTGTACAAACGTACCCTTTCCAATTTCAACCCTTTCCAGTCAGTTTACCTGCACACAACAAATGCTACCCTTGATCAGTTAATAATAGTCTCATTATTTAAGCTATTTCACACAATCTAACCTGGTGGTATGCAAAGTGTGGGCCTTGATAGCAATTGACCCAACTAGTGCCTGAACTTGACTACAAACTTTTCAATGGACAAATTTAGAAAGCAATATTAATAACCACTGCACCTTGTCGAATTCTAAAGCATCTGACCTCAAAATCACATCGCTAAAGTTGGATGTGTTGCTAATATGTGCTAATACATAAGTCTAAATCCTTGGAGTTAATGACTATTTGTTGTTTTGCGACGGAACGGCCGAACTCCTCCATTGGATTAACTGATTGTCAACTTTTCATTACATACAATCTCTATCTCAGTTTGCCCTCCCTGTGTTTGACCAGTAACTTTAGTCCTGTCGTCATTTGCTCTCCCATATTTGCCAATTGATAAATTCCAGCTGGACGTGTTCTAAAGGTCCAATAGACCAATAATTCACTAATCTTGGGAAAAATTAGTGCAGATATATTATATTTACCAAAATATGCAGACACTTTTCTAGGTAAAAATTTTGCATAGAGGATATTCCTACGCAGGCATTCTACAGTGTGGCATTGGAGTTGGTGCCAGCATTTCATTACCCTAAGCAGGGAGTTGTTATAGTGAGAGACGTTCCAACTATCCTGGAAATTTCCCATATTTTCATGGAACAAAATGCATTTTACCTCGTGGCAACCTCAGAATTTCAACAAAAAATCTCACACTTTGCCAACCACTAGGCCTAAGATAGGCCCTAAGCAAGCCTAGGCTAGGTCTAGGCCTATATATTATATTAAGTCAAGAAAAGTTCAAGTTAGCCAACCTTCCATCATGAAGTCCCAGGCTAAGGTCTACTAGCCTAGGCCTGTTCTACTAGAGAGGTAGCCTAGCTAGGCTCCTAACCCTTGTTCTAGGTAGGCTAATCCTAGGCCAAGAGTAGGCCCTGGCCCCGGCCCTAGGTAGTTGGGCCTCCCAATTGGGCGTCCTTCGCCTGGCATTGGCTAGGATCCATTTGTGCATTAGCATTAATGAATGTACCGGTACGGTCTGGGTAGCCTTATTAATTAATCGGCAAATGATTAACGGTCTTGCTTGGCAAGAAGGCACTGACCATGCGCCACGCACAAACAGGCCCAAAATGCCGGGTCTGGCCTTCGACTTATTTAGGCATGGAAAGTGTACGCATTGTCATAAATTCAATTCAATTAAAAAATATAAACTTAAATCCTACCCGATGCACTAAAAGCCATAATAAATGCTGATAAAAATGATAGTACTTCCTCCTTGGTACTTCCCTTTAACACGGGAAAGGCCGATGAAGAGCGAGCACCTAGGATATCGATAGGAGTAGAGTATGTAATGTATGTATGTAGTGTGGCCTATAAATAGGCCTATAAGTATATTCACTGAAACCGAGGGTCATAGCGCCCACATACGTACAGTAAAGATAATTTTTGCAAAGATTTTAAGAATAAATAATAATATTAACAATAATAATGATAATAATAATGATGATGATAAGGATGAGGAGAAGGATGATGAATATTATGAACAATAATGATGAGGATGATGATGGGGCCTAAACAAAATTATTTTGCTCTCCTTAACCGCCCCTAACTCACTGAAAAAAATAGGGGCGGTAAACAAAACAAAAAAAAAACTTTATTTTGAGCTTTTTTCTTTATGCAGCTTTCAATCTTAAACGACATGATTCGACGTGTCACATCATCAGGTAATAGTGCTATGCTACTACCCATGGGCGTCGATTGGTGGGAGACGGGGGCACGTCACCCCCACTTTTCAAGGTGGGGGGGGGGCATCATATCCACACTTTTCACCAATCTTCTATAATTAAAACCCCACTTTTTAAAAGTGAGAGAATAACAATTACGCATGACTCGTGAATTTTGCCTGTTCACTTTTCCAAGTGCGGTACGTAGGCCTACCGTATTTTCCGGACCAAAATTGAGTAAAAACGTAATTGTTTATACTTTTCATAATTATCTCAGAAACACTTGATCGATTTCATGGTGCAGCGGTTATCAGAGGCTAAATTTATTGTGAAAACAATGTACTTAACGTTGTTAAAATTGGAAGCGTGTACACTTATTAGGCCAATGTTTTTACAAACTCAAAAGTGCACAATTTCTACTATAAACGATTTATTCCTTTTGTATTTTACGGTATTATGACACGTACGTATATACTAGTGTTTAATATTATCTACATACATAGGATTACTGTTTTTCCTAATTAAAAAAAAAATTATAGTTAGTCAACCGAATTGTATATAGCCATTATTAAACAATAATTATACAGCCTTTGACACGGACATCTATTTCGATTTAGTGATACCAACATTTTACAAACACCAGTGTTACGTTGACGCAATCTCACAAGACGTCATAATAATCAGTGGCGAATTCAAGTGGGGCCGAGCCAACCCTAAATTTTTCAAAATTTTTTTTTTTTTTAATGGAAAAAACAAAAGCAAAATTATAATTAAAATTTATGTATGAGAGTGCCATTTCCGGCAATCTAGAGGTGTCACAAACATAAATTTTCTTTCCTCAGCCCCAACCATGGTAAGGCTCAGGTGATCTACTTTCCCAAATTGTGCAAATCCTTCCCTTTGCATTCATGGGGCCGCCACTGATACCGTAATGATAAATTAAGTAAATCACCTTATGTTTGTGAAATCAAAATGCTAACTAATGTTTTATATGCATTTTAAATTTGAATGGCTGGAAAATGTAATGGCTGGAAAATCTACAGGCATGTTAATACCAACATCATGCAAAATCTATCCAATAAATCATGAGTTATGAACGTAAATGTTAACCCCTAACCCAAACATCGCCATTGATTACACAAGTAATCAAAAAATACATTTTTCTTGTTAATATCATTTTTGATATTCCATATGCTTATTAATAA